AAAAAAAAGCACAATATAACTATTTTTCAATTCATTCACAAAAAAAAAAAACGGTAGAAAAGATATATTTTTTAATAATTTTCATATTTAGAATATTTTAACAATACCTGTTACAAATTCACGGGATTTCAATATCGTTTTGAACGTTTTTTTCAAACAGATACACAACTTTGTCGTTTCATGCATACTCGGCCAATAATCTGGACCTATTATTCATGTAAATAAATGAGAAAGTTTTTATCGCTTCAGAATGAATAATTGGTAAATAAGCTCTACTTGGTATGACACCCAATTTTGAATATTATTTTTTTTTTCACCGCCAAACAGTCGAGTTTTAGTTTTGAATTATGCTGGAGTCAGTGTCAGTAATTATTTGTGCTCAACCCACTTTTCAAAATAATTCCAAAATAATTCCAAATAATGGCGTAATAACCCCATATATCATGTGTAACTATTAACATCTGCTCCAGTAGGAACTCAATACCATTAAATTCGGATTAACTGTTCATAAGGTTGAACGCAGTAATTAATATAAGGAAATACAATCTGAAACATAATATTAAATTCACAATGTATGTCTTACGTACGTGCGTTAAAATAAGTTAAAATAGTGCAGAATTTTTTTCATTGAACACCAATAAGAATGATTAAAGTTGAGCATATATGAAAAAAATTGGTTAGTGTTACTCGTATCTTTATTGCTATAAATAAAATATAACACAACACTATTCCTTAATTATTTGATGCAAATCATGAATTACTGATCGCGTTACCATCTTTTCGGATTGCACAACCAAGGTAACAATTTAATTTAGGATCAACGATAAAATTCTCAGGGTATGAAAGTATGAAAGTATGAAAGCGCCAATAATGAGAATCCAACATAACATAATAGTTAATAGTAGGTATACGAACGCCGTCTTGTCGTGTCGCCACCTGGAAAAGTAAAATAACGTACGTACCTGGATCTTTTATAACCATGTTGATTTGAAGATTTGCCACCATGGGAAAAAATAAATATATTTATAGTGGTATCATTGAAATTATCTTGGTTAGTAAGTTGTAATAGACAAAAAATTAATTTAATATGGTAAAATATTAATATTAATTATAGCACTATCGATGTTAACAATTACATCATATATAGTTCTATCGATGTTAACGATTATGTCATGGTACTATCGAAAATTCCCAGTACGTACGTACGTACGTATTTAATTTTAGTCTGAGTATACAGTTTAATTTTGATTAAATAATCGATTATCGATTACTTAAGAAATATTAGCTAGAATTTTTAGTGCTATATGCATAAAAAATATATTGATACTATCTACAAGAAAAAATTAGCTCAATGGTTATTGAGCAAATCGGGTTTAAAGATTAACTAAAACCGCGTTATTCACTAATGTTATTAATCGTCAGGGATTCTAGCCCAATTCAGACGACGAAAAATTTCCTATTTTTTATAAATTCCAGTCGAATTTGGTTAGATTCTAGTAATGCTAGAAAATAGCAGGGCGATTACTATAGATATCGATATCTATCGGTCTAAAAAATTTCCCAAAATTTATGATTTGTAATATTTAGGTTGTGCATATATTTTGAATACTCTGATCGGTAATTTCGCGTGCATCTAATCCAATAAAACTTATAAAAATAGGGGTTTATATATAGATATAAATTAACCATGTTTGAAAAACTACGATTCATTTTAAAAAACATATATGTATGCACATATTTTATAATTGTATATTGCAATAAATATTATTATACTTATTTATTTTTTGTTTGTTCTACGGGAATATTAATAAATCAAAATTTGGCAATCAAATAAAACGGATTAAACATAATTATATACACCGATAATCACACAGATCTTACATTAGTACAGTCGGTTATTGTGGCATTCTGAGAATAATTACTTTCTATTTATGGAAAATACGGTTATTCTACTTTGTAATCTTTTCATTAAATCGATAGAATATATTTGTATCAAAAAGCATAATCTCGGTTTTCACAAAAAAAAATAGTGACCAAAAATAAACGGATATATCTATTGTTTCTAAGAGTGACGATATTCTGCATTTCATTATTGCATATAATAATATAATAATATAATAATATAAAATATAAAGAATTATTATTTTTCGACCCATCTTAAATAATATCAACCTTAAGATATTGGTAAGATATGGTTGAGATATGGTTAAGATATGGTTAAGATATTGATCGCTTGAAAGAACTATATATTAATTAATTAATTTATGATTACAAAATTTGTACTAATAATTGAATATTTTAAAATCAATTTTTGGAAAACAATGGAACAATGGTACTTATAAATCATAGGAAAAAAAAAATAAAAATTACATGAGGGACTGAAAGAGGAATTGCAAAAAGGCAGGAGTATTTAAATGTTCTCCTTGATTGTAAAATTTATTGCGTCATCCACTGAGACCTCATTATTCATTGATATTCATTGAGTTTATAAAAGTAAGTTTATATATACATGCCGAGATGAATTTTACCGGTACCAATGAACATAACCTAGTAATAAACTTTGTAAGCTTTGTTTGTTTATTATACCTTCATTTTGTTATGAACTTATGTGTCAAAAGCAGTAATGTTTCTAAGATCATCTAAACATAATTACAATAAATTAATTAAATTTCTTCATTTCATGGTGTATCTAAATTATGTTTATATCCGTGGTTACCAAAAAAGAATAATTTCCCAAAGAATAAATATATGAAAAAATATGAATATGTGAATATGAATGAATAAATATATAAAATAATACAATATATGATCAGAAACAGGATTTTGTGGTCTAAAGCGCGAGTATCCATTTATATTTTTTTTCATTTTGCTTTACATGTATATATAAATGAATAGCGAATCGTGTACATCAACCTAGGCATTCTTTCGTTAGTACTACATCTTTTTGCATGCTTTGCATAACGTAGTAACGCATGTTAGTAACGCATGTTAGGAGTTGAAGAAATAAGGAGCTTATGCACAACAAATAAGGGTGAATATCTTATTGTTTAGTCACCTTTGAAATCTATTTATATTAAGACCTTTTAAAGAAAATTTATTTTCTCCTGCACCTATCCACTACGGCTGACCTCGATTCGTGATACAAATTTAGCATAAACGGGAATCCAAAAAAAAATAAAAACTTACTGTTTCAATATTTATTGACAATATTGGCATAAAAGTGCTAATTTTACCCAAGTAAAAAAGTTTTATAAAAAGTTTTTCTTCAAGCAGTTCTACAAATATATTAAATTCATCTGGCATGAAATCTCGATCAGGTTTCAATCGGATTGTTTCGTTGCTGATTTTAATTTCACTATTGCTAGCAATAGTGCCTATAGTAGCAAGTTTTTCTAACTTTACTTATCAAGAGTCAAAATCTTCTTCTGTAACCCCTCGAATATGGAGACCTTATGTTTATAAAGATGGTACTTTGCTTGTTCGAATAATTCGAAGAGATGCTGCTAATAGTAGTACTAATAAAACATGCCTCCAACAAATATTATCACTACGATTAATATTTCCCAACGGAACCGTATCCGAACTTGATATTGACTTGAAGATTCAACCTTTCAATTATTGTCTTCTTGCGGCTAGTCCGCAAAATCCGCAAGTTTCAGAAGCAATACGCTTATACCCTTTACAAACTGGTTATTTCCTAGTAAAATATTTTAATGCTACTGATGTTAATGATTTCTCTACTTATGAAGAATGGATAATGTTGGTTAATTGGAATGGTGCAATACTTAGGTTAGTTTAATATGATTGATATCATTGATATCATTGATATCATATCTTTCCCTGCTTATTTGTTGAATTCTTTAAAATCCTTTTATATCATCAGTAAAGCATTTCTTGGTCACGCTTTCATAACTCCAGCCGGCCAATGGGACCCTCTCCAAACCACTATAAGGGTTAATATCTCTCCAGAGAAGGGTTTTTTGCGACTTTCCGCAATAAGCAATACCACAAGCGCTGCATGGTCTCAATATTTCATGTAATTATCTAGTTTTTTTTTTTTTTTTTTATATATTTTATTTAGCTTTAATCCTTTCATTTATATTACATTATATTTAATTTTTCTAGTTCTTTTTTCTTTAATTAGTGATCAAAATTATCAATTCAAACAACTTTCAAATGGTGTCATCCAATTTCCTATATTTGCAAGTGCTGTGTTTAACACCATAGCGACTGTAGATGAAGGTTATGCTATTATTTATGCAAACTCTTCTGACCCAACTAATTCGACTGATCCACTTATCGTTCGCGCCGCGTTATACATTCAAACTATTGGTTATGGTGACCCGACCTTGGGTGCTCCATTGCTCCTCTATCAACTTCCGCTTCAAAACATAATATTCAGTTCACTTTTTTGCGATATTTCTCCCATTAATGTCGGCCAAATTTGTACATTAGGAATGACTCAAAATACTCCATCTAATAATGCAACTAATACTACAACTAATAATAGTCAAACTTTTTACGCAAAAATTTCATTTTTATCAAGTGGTTCCGTTATTGAATTTACTCCAATATCCAGAATATTACCTACTAATCTACCTAATGTCACTTCATGGGTGGTTACTGCACTACCTTACGGTGGTTATTTATTGCTTACTCAAACTTTATCTCCAACTGGCATAAATATGTATGCATATATCTTTGACGAATACAACACCACTGGACAACCTTGGGAGTTGCCGGAACCTTTTGCTTCAAACGTAGCTGGTGCTTTCGAGATTCTTCCTAATAATTCCCTTGTTGTCGCTCAACCGGAATCTCCGAACACTTGGTCATTTGTAGTTTCTGACTTACCCAAATTTACAAAAAATAAGGATAATGGTTACTCTAATGTTCGTGTCGATATTACAAACCCTAAAATTGGTGATGTGATTCCAACATCAACTCAAAATATTACCATAAGATTTTATGACCCTGTTGAACTTTCTTCTGGAAATGTTACAATTGTTCAATCTGATAATAATCATAATGATATCATTCGACAAATAGTTTCTGGAAAAAATGCTGGTTTTTGTTCAATATCAGATGATGGTTTAACTGTAATCATAAAAGTCCTTGATAGTACTTTTAGTAAACCAAATTCCTTGTTTTATGTAAAAGTTGATAATAATTTTGTAAGGAGTAGAGCTTTTAAAGAACCTCTTATTGGAATTGGTGAAAGAATTTGGAAATTTAGCACTGGTAAAATATCTCTTATTTTATTCTTGTTGTTTAAATGAATGCTTAATTTAAATTTTTATTAATTCTCATTATTCTCATTAATTCTCATTCCTTTTGCAGAAAATAAAGAAGAACCATTTGCAGGTAAATTTGAATTTCAACTTTAATGTTAATCACATAAACAATTTAAACAATTCAAACAATTTATATGGTATTATTTTATCGTTATTGTTATCATTATGTGTAGGCTCAGTATCTGGATTATTACGTCTAACTCTGGATGGTTCAACGTATTATGAAAGTCTCGATTCCAATGGCAAAACCAAATTCTTTGCCAGCCTTCAAGATGATGTTTCAAAAATCCTCCCAATTGCTCCTTCACGTTTAAGTTCTAATCAACACGTTCAGGTTGATTTCTCTATTAGTCCAGGTCGACAGATTTTCTTATCACTTAATCTAGAACAAACTAGAGATAAAAATGAAAGAAGTGTTGCTTCGCTTATCCGAGATTTAAACACAATGGTTCGTAACAAAGATATTACACCAATTGGGTTAGGAAACACTACAAAATATCTAGATGATACTTATGGATTTGCGCCTTCGTGTAAGCCTCTAATAAGCTTATTAAAACGTGGCTATACTTGTGTTTTTTTTTACAAAATTTAACCAACCCTCTTTAAATCTATGTTACTTTATATAATTTAGCAAATCTATGGGATAAATATAAGTTGAAGCTGTTGGGAGTGTTCTTGGTAGCTTGCTTGTTGATTGCTCTTTTCCTTTTGGCTCAAAGAAGAGATAAGAAGGGTCAAAACATTGCCATTTTACAACTTGGCCTTATTCTATTTGATGTTACCATTGATATTCTATTCTTAGTTAATAATGGCAGAGATGTTGAGTTTCTATACATCCCTAGGTACGATGAAATATTTTGTCATGTATTCATTTACATTAATAATTATAATATTAATATGTTTCAACCATTTTTAAACTTTATATAAATTCTTATAGTATAATATTCTTGGTAGTTCCAATTTGCATAAATACTTCATTAGCTTTTGTGATCATTACAAAAGAAAACACGCGTCCTGAATTTTTCTCATGGTTCATCCGAAATGGAAAAGTCGCGTCAATATTTACCGTATTGGCTGGTGCTGACATTGAAGCATTAGCAATACTTAGATCAAACCTTGCAGGATTTTCATTTTTCCAAGCTCCTTTTTCAGAGGATGCTCTATCAAGTATATTTTGGGCTGCATGCTTGAATATCTTTACAGAAGATATACCTCAAGTGATCGTTCAGGTAAAGAAGGATACTTTGTATAACCTTTTTTTTTACATTTTTTTTTTTTTGGAACACAAGTTCAACAATCAAAACTCTTAATAATTTTACACTCTTAACAATTTTAGATCTTATACCAAGGAAACACTGTAATCTATGACATCATTCCACTGCTTACCCTTGTCTCATCTTGCCTCAATTTGACGGTTAATTTGATTGGAAGATTATATCAAGCCACGAATAGAATCCGACAAAAGAAAGAAAGTCATCGTTATCCTAAAACCGATGAACATGAACCGCAATATGATTTTGGAAATAACCAGCCATATAATATGTCAACTCCAATGGTTTCTAATAATGAACCACATGAATTACCTAATAAGGTTGAAATTAAAAACGACAGACTTTCTGGACTTTCTGTTGATGATAGCAAGAGATTGGCAAAAAGCAATTCAACGAGTAGCTTTCATGAAATGATTAATCATTGAATATTATTAAGAATTAGTAACTTTTTTTTGTTTAATGAACTTTTTTATGCTTTTGTTTATCATATATATAATGTTAATTATAGAATAAAAACATTTCTATTGCTCTTTCAATTTTGTAATTCAATTTTGAAATTTAGAATTATTTTTTAGAGTTCTTATTTTTTTTATTGTTTGTACCATGTTCATTTATTATAAATTTTTGACTTATAATCACTATCGTCAATATAATATCAAACATAATAACAATGGGTGCTTTTTTTTAACTGCAATAAAGTTTTCACATATAAACAAATTTAAGGCACAAGCTTTGATGTTTATCGTTTATATTGGGGCTGGAACGGAGGGGAGGGGAGCGGAGGGGAGCAGAGTGTAAGGCCTATATACGAGTGCTGCAGAGCGAAAACCTTTAAATGAACATAATGATTTACTATGTGAGTGTCGCTAAAAGAAACCCCGAAAATATAAATATGACTTATATTTAGATTTTCGGGTTTTTCTTTTAGCGACACTCATGTTCATTTACAGGTTTTTGCTCTGCAACACTCATATGAGTCGCTAAAAGAAAACATACACATCTATATATAGCCTATATATAAATGTGTATGTAACACTCATATAGTCTACTAATTTCACGCAATGTCCCCTGTAAATGAGATTGATTTGAGCAATCATATCCCCTGTAAAAATTTAATTCAATCATTAAAAAAATCATAAATAAAACAGACGACTGACAATTGACAAAAATAGTAACTAATAATTTATTGTATCGATGCAAAGCATAAGAATTTATACGCCTGAACAAAAGGCCGCAAGAAGTGGTGCTAGAAGAAAAGGTCGGTAACGTTAAGTTATCGAAATAACGAATCAATAAAAAGGCAAGCATCAAATAATGAAAACAATACAAATCGTGACGAACATAATATCTATTTACATTTGGCAGAATCTTAAATTATAAAAATATATAGTTAACTAACTTTTTTTTTAGAAAATCAAAAATATCCTGCCATTACCACTTGCATGCCAGCTTTCTAATTATGATCAAAGTCTTTTAAAGAAATTTCGCAATGCTGTTTCTGTACTTAAATTCAATTCTGCCCAATTATAAAGAGATTTTTCTACAACTGTATTTGGACAAATTACGAATTGTAAATGGTGCAATGGGAACAACGATATTATATATAAATTTGGAAGACGCCAACTACATCATCTACATTAATGCTGTTCAGAATAGATAATTATATCAGGTCCAACACTAAACACGTTAAATAGTTCAGGAGTAGGTATGCATGGGAATTACAATTCACAAATCGCAAGGTTTAACATTGTCACGAACCGTATTTGACATTTGCAATAAGGAATTTTCTATAGGTTACATTTGTAGCTGCATCAAGGCCTGTGCTCTTTCCCATCTTCTTTTCTACTTATAATAGATTACAAAATTGAGGGAAATACATGATTATAACAAAGATTAGAGATTACTCAATTTATAAATTATTAAATTGGAGTTATGTCTTCTACATTAATATAAACTTATAAAATATGCTATTTAAAAAAAATTAATGTATTTTCTAATATCCAATAATAGTATTACTGTGAAAATTTTATTGAAATTTAAGCATCTAACAAGGAAGGCTCCAGACCTATGAAATGTTGCTGGTTTATTACTAGTTAATACTTCAATTCTTGAAAGATGTATGAATATGAAAAATTAACCACTTATAGAAAATGTTCTGTAAGACAGTCAAAATCTAAAATCCCACTAGCCTATCAATATAATATCAAATAGGATGATATAATATAAATTAAAAACTGATTAACAAGACGACAGATTGTTTAAAAAAATTTAGCACATATTGGCCAATATCAACCTAGATATAATTTTATACTGGTTATTATACTATACAGTAGCTAACAAAAGTAATGCCTGATTTTGCACAAAACATAAAATTTTATTTATTAATTTTTGGTCACACATATATCAATTTTTTTTTATTTGTTTAATATTTGCAAGAGTGACCTCTTACAACTGCAATAGTTTATATTCTTCATGTTATTGAATTTGAAACTACACAAAGAACCAACATATCCAAATTTGATCATACCTCTTTTAGGGCCACTTTAAGTGTAGGTTTATTCCTTAGAAAGTCTTCTCAGTTCTGAATATTGTTCTTCATAATTTTTCAAATGTTTTCTATGGATTAAGATCAGGAATCATGAAGGCTAATTTATATAATTGATTTTGTTGAATCAAGCCAATTTGACACCTTATGAACTAGAGTATTATCATATTGAAAAATTAGATGTGAGTCAAGTAATTAACAAGTAGCAGTTATAAATAGTACAAGGTGATTGCCTAGAACCTTGGTATAAATATTTTTATTAATTTTTTTGTCTGGATTTTTTGTAATTATCAAAAAAAATTAAAAGATCTTTAATGATATCAACATAACATGACCAAATTATTACAAGATCCTCCAACTCCTAAAATTCAGTTGCAAATATTTATATTTATATCTTTTATTTACATAATAATATATTTGAATTTGGTGAAATTATTTATCTACCTTTATACTCATTCTATCTAAAAAAATGATATGTCTCCAATAGTAAGCAACTTTGTTTATCTGTTATTTATATTATTTTATACATTCATCTATATTGTTTTGTGACAAAAAGATTTCAAAATAATGACATGAGAATGAAACACAACATTGTACAAAGTTCTAATTATAGTGTGCATACTGTATTGAAAGTTTAATTGGTAATTCATCAGTCAACTAGAGAGGTTCTGCAAATTTTTATAAGTAAATTTTACTAATAGTCTAAATGTGAAGCTCTCTAATCTAAAACTTTTTTTTTTACTAAGTAAATTACTCTTGGGCTTCTAATAAATTTGTAGAGCTTATCAAGATGCATCTAATGGTGGTAAAATATTAAAATTGGCCTGGTAGTTCTTGAAAATTTTTTAAAAAATGTTTTATCAATATATAAAATTTTTTTAAAAAAATTAATTTTTTTAAAAGAAATTTTATATGTTAATAAATATTTTTTAAAGATTTCTTAAGAACCACCAGATTAATTTTAATATTTTTATTACTATTAGATATATTTTGATGAGCTTTATAACTTTTTTTTTTGTAGTCAAGGTTAATCTCTTTGGTTTATCACTTTTATTAGATTTATTAAAATTATATAGTGCCCTTTTCAGGAACCCCAGATAAATATATTCTGATGAGAATATATTCTAGCCATATTTGCACCTTTTAAGCATCTAATTTAAGTAGTCTGCCTATTACTAGGTTCTATACTAAATGCTATACTTATAACCTACTATTATTTGGATTACCTAATTAAACCTTCTCATCTGAGTTTCTATACCAATCTGTCTAATCAATTACTCAGAATATGCAA